TCGGATCACAAGCCCACCTCTCTAACCTTTGCGCCACCACTCCCCCACTCCCCCACTCTCAGTCTTATACATGTTGTACTGAGTTATTTTATGTTAAGTCATATTGTGTTAACATGTATTTTTTGCCTTGTCATATGCATTGTATTGTGTCGTATTGTATCATGTTATGTTGTGCTGAGTCATGTCGTCTTATCCAGCTGTGTTGTATTGTGTCCAGTTATATTGTGTTATTTTGTGATAAGTTACATCCTGTTAGCATAATGTGTTGTATTTTGTCTTATAATATGTTGTATTGTGTTATATTGTATCATGTTATATATTGCATCGAGTCATGTTGTGTGTTATCGTGCCGTGTCAGATGCAATAGGCTCATATGTTAAATCGTGTTGTGTTGTATGGTGTTGCTTTGTGTTATATTTTGCGTTTTATTTCTTTGCTCCTTAGCTTTAGCTGAGTTTGTTTTAATAATATCTTTCAGCTCCTCGTGAACTTCTCCAGACCTCCCATCATGTACGTCTCCAGCACACACATCCTGCTCACTCTGGGAGGGAAGTGTCTGCTCAACTGGGTCACGCTGTTTCTCCAGAAGGGGCAGATCTGCAGAAGCTTCCTGGGAGTTTTCAGCCTTTCTCTTGCTGTTGTCGACACGTTGCTGACATTCTCCATTGCCAAAATTTACACCCACGGTGATGAGTTTGTTGTCCTCTTCGGCTACCTGATGACCAAATATGATCCTTGTTTGCTGCTTCAGCTCATGGGGCACATCAGCAGGGTGCTGCAGTGGCCCGTTTTCCTCGTGGCTTCTGTGCATCATCTCTGCACCGTGACTCAGAGGTTACAAGCCTACATTTTTAGGCCAACATGGCTCTTCTATACATCAGTGACTATATCCGTGTGGTTCCTCACTGCTCTCTACTTCCTCCTGCTGTATGACTTTGTTCCAGATATTTCCAACGGTGACACGCTCAGGTGCAGGGTCTTCTTCTCCAGTCAGATCCTGCACCTCACCCTGCTGCTCCTCCTCATCCTGGCATGTGCCACACTTTTCCCCCTTATCAAATCTTTACCAAGAAGCCAAACTACGGACCAGAGGCAAACTCTCTGCAGAACTTTTGTTCAACAAACGCTGCAAAAATTCCTCCACACTTGGACTCCTTTCCTGGTTTTCCTGGCCGTGTTCCTCTGTCATCCTGTGGGAATACCCTCATACCTGGACCTGAATGTTGTCTGGCTCTGTTTTCTGAACAGCCTTCTGGTAGCCATTGTTTTATGTGTTGCCTGTCCGTCCTCGCCGGCGCTGCAGGGCCTGCCAAAACCTGGTGGCGGTTTCTCTGACTGGAGCTTTTAGTTAATTTTAGACCGGCTGCAGAGAACGAAACTCACCCACGATGGAGGAAGTCAGACTCACTGATCCGACCCAGATAGCTTGTAGCACATTTTTCAGGCTCCATTTTAGGTGAAAGGTTGAAACTTTATAAAGGGCTTTAACTGTTAGTAGAAACTTAAATTGTGTGCTTTTAGCTCACAGCCATGGTTGTTAGTTTTATAGCACAATGATGATTTCTGAAGAATAAATAACCTGCAAAGAAATGATGTACAATCCCAAACTACTACTACTATTGTTAGCACCTGCTGCACAAGCTCTGTTAGCAAAATATCTCATGAACCCCTGGATAGAACCTAGTGAAACTCTCAGAAGGTAATGATTGGTTGTACATCAAGATGGCTGCCACAGCTAATCAATATTAACACAAAAAGGCTACAAGTCATTTCTCATCATAAGACGTTGCATTAAAGACGATTGGTGACATGCATTCCTTTAATTTCAGCCCTGACTTTAATGTTTAACATTTTTTTTATTTTTTTTTTATTATTATTTTTTAAACCCATTTCCACTTAATGGTTTACATTTTTTAAATCATAGTAAAACTTGAGGAATTTTTTTAAAAGCTGTAATGGAAAACGTTTCTATTCTGTGAACTACAAAAAGGAAAATAAACATTTCAGTTTATATCTTCAGAATTTATTATAGTTCACTGATTATAAATGGTTTGTCCTTATAGTATAGGCCTTTTAAAGTAAACATTTTTATTGTACACAAATAGTCTAAATCAGGGATATTCAACTGGAGGTCCGAGGGCCAGATCAGGCCCACTGATGAACTCAGTTCGACCCACCAGTGAGTTCATTTTTTACAAAACTAGATTTTAAACCATAAAATAAACTTACTTAATGACAAAAACAGCTCAATGTCCAGCCCCTGAGCACTTGGCTTTCAATAACTCTGACCCCCTGAGCAATTTAGTTCAATAGCCCTGGTCTAAAGCATCTGTTTTAATATTTTGCACATATTCTGTTTTGTTACACAATATAGCTTTTTTGTTTGTTTGTTTTTTGCATCAGTGTTGAATTGTAAGGACAAATTAATCAGAAACAGTCAAATGTTTTTTCAAATCGCATCATAATGTATTAATGAAGGCGACATAACCAGAGATGAAACTAACAATATATAACTATATATAACACTTAATATGACATAAGGTAATTTAGGATAGATGTCTAAAATGTTGCCAGATGGCTTTGTTAATAACGTTTTTTTAAAGAATTATTGTAAACGTGTCACACTTCGAATGTATATAAAAAAAGACACCACTAGTTTTGACACTACAGAACTTTACTTGAATTTGATCCAAGTTCATTGTCTATACAGGGTTTTTATTTACAAGATCTGAAATCAGGAGGAAAAAAAAACAGAAATAAACATACACTAGATACAGCTGAGGTATCGGCTAAAAGCATTTACAGGTATGTAATTTACTCTGATGATCAACAGTTAGAGATGCAGAGTCGTCTGCTTTAAAAAACATCTTATATCACAACATGAGGTAGGAGAACAGTGTCTCTATTCATGCAAGAACAAAAGTCTCGTCACACTGTAGTATTGGCAACGTAGTCGTACACAGACACCGCGTTTCAGGTTTCCAAACAGCATCAAGGGGGGGGGAAAGCTTTTTTATTTTGTTTGTTTGTTAGCAAAGCAACAGATTGTTATTTTACATTTTTTAATGTGACATGTAGGAATTAAAACAGTTTTTGTGTGATCAGTCACCGCAGCAGCTGTTTGGGGGCTGAAAATGACAAAGTTTTAGTTTAAATGTGGCTCCTGCTCTTTGTTTTAGTCAGTTTGGTAAAATCCACACCTGCTAAACGCATCTACAAATTGGATCTAAACAACATAACACTGCTAGAAGCAGAGAAGGCTCAACATGCTGCGTTATAAAGGATCTCCTCATAAACAGACACCTACACAGGCTGAACAGCGCCCCCTTGTGTATGAAATGCAGACCAAGGATCTGCTCGTGTGGTTTAAAGAATAATTTGATGCTTCTGTTCAGATTTGGAGGCAAATAAGTGACTAAAAATGTAATACTGATAATCATCCATCAATAAGGATAATACATGGTTTAAATGTGAGAACATAAACGCACATCTACGGCTACATGAGCAAGTTTTTCTTTTCTGTATCAGAGCAGCAGCTTCAAACGACTCACAGTTTCCAATCAAATCAGGCTACAACTTACAATCTTTACCATCTTACTTTGACTATAATCAGCCAGCATCTTACTCTTAATAGAAAACTCTTCAATATTCATGCATATGAACTGTCTGGACAGTATGTGGCGTTACATGGCTGGAAACTTTCTTCTTTTTTTTTTTAACAATAAACAAATCGACAGAGTAACCTGGTGACATAAAATGTATGGGCAGCAGATCATGCAGAAAATCTTTTGGTTTTTTTTTCTTATTTTTAATTCATTTATTTAGCAAATATTCAATTTAGCTCTGCAGAGTTTGCAAAGGGAGTTTAAATAAGAGCAAAAGGAGAGGAAAAATATAAAGCTTACATTAAACATTACAGTCCGCTAAGGTAAAATCCATAAAAACAGATGCATCATCTCTAAAAGTGGGGAAGAAGTGTGTAACAAAGTTTTTTTTTTTCTTGTTTTGCTGTTGTCTAAATAAACCATGCACTTCATCCCCCCCCCCCCCAACATCCACTCAAAAAGTCTGTAAATATTATTTATGTATATATTTAAAAAAAAAAACAATTCGGCCAACTGAAAGCCTTAGTTCTGGTCCAAATGATATATACCTTTCTGAAGATTATTTATATAAGAACAGTTAATATATTAATGACTACTTTATTTACAAAGTGAATATAAATCTTTAGTTAATATGTTAAATATTTTCTCTCGTTTCAGTAAATGTTTTAATGGAATAAACGTTTATGGCATTTGTAGATTTGCTTTCGTGATCGTCAACACCCCACCTCCATCCGCCGCTCGATCGTTAAAGGTGCTCATTGCAAAGTCGTGAACACCGCCCTCAAAAATTCCCCAGAACCAAAACCAACACTGTGTTTTCCTCGCACCGATGGTTCGCGCGTCCTTTAATAAAAGAGTTGTGCGCAGCTGCCAACTAACTTGTGCGTTTGTTTACCTACGGTAACAGCCGAAGTGACGTGGAAGAGCCGTGTGGGATGGAGACGGACGGTTTTGGTGTATTCATGTTTATGTGCGAAGCATGCAGATAAAACAATCGACTAGGTTAAAACCAGTCTAGAAATTGTACCCGGTATTTATCCTTGAGTTGTCTTATTTGCTCTTTTTCAACAGATTCACTGTTTTTTCCACCTAAAACGTATTTTCAGAGACTCGTCCGAGTCCACCACTTTGTTTAATCAGACCACGCCCAGCCTAATGTAACCACGTGACTCAAGCTTTAATGTGCTTTGCTGCAGAGTGCTTTGTTTACATTGAATGCGTACCCGCATTTTAGAATTGCATATCAGTATAGCTGTAAAACTACCGGAGTAAACCTTTAAACGGCACCGTTCGATACAGTATGGCACAAGGGGCTGTCATGTTGGATTTTATAGTCTGCAATGAGCACCTTTAGGCTCTGTTATGGTAAAGGGAAGCTGTGTACAAAAATCTGCATTGAACAGGATGGAGCACAGTGGAATGTCTTATCAATTTGCATTAATAGCAGATGCATAAAAAAGCTCAGTTTAGCCAAAGACGAGCCCATTACAGTTATTTCACACACACACACACACACACACACACACACACACACACACACACACACACACACACACACACACACACACACACACTGTCGCTCTCGGGGATCTTCTTAGTGGCGATAAAAAGCGCTTTTTGTCTGGCAACTGACACAATGAAGTTCCTCTGGCTGGACTTCTGCTGATGTGGAGCTGGAGCTAGGTGCCCCCCGGTGGTGGGGCCGAGGGCCCCAGACAGCAGCAGCTGCCCTCATTATGGTGGCACAAAACATGAAGAAGAAAAAAAGAGGGGCTCCCTCAGTACCCCCGGCGTCGGGGCCACCCAACATGCAGCGAGAGGGGAGGGAGAGCACCAAACCTCCCCTGCCTGAAAACAGAACCCGAACTGGACTATCTGCTTTCAGCCCCATTCTTAGAAGACAAACGGCGCGGGGATAAACCCGTCTGCGAGCAGCTCGGAGCGGGGTGACAGTCCACAGCTTTGATCATCCACTGGAAACTCTGAGGCCGTTGTTCTGCATCAACGCTCCGACACGCTCCGATGTGCAGAGAACTTATTATCATAGTGAGGCTGCCACACACGTGAGACGCTGTCGTTTTGTCTTTTTCAAGAAAAGGAGTCCTGTGACTGTCCCACATGACGCTCAAAGCAGTTAAGTGCTGCTTCTTTGTTTCTGGTGGAAGATGAGCATTGAGGGTTCAGTCCACGAGCAGCAGAACAGAGTGAAGGAAACTGATCTTTAGTCAGAATATTCCATATTTATGTCTCTAAAATGGGATTAAAGGGGCGGGATTACACTCAAAACAGTCACTATCACTATTGGCATATTTTCATGAGGTTTCACATCTGCAAATGATTTCTTCTGTACAGTAAAGGTCTTTTTTTCTCCATAAAGACTTGATATTTTAGCATCTTATAGTATATTTGTGTTTATAAGGAGTCCAAAACAACAACAAAAAAAGAAAAAATCAATATTGAAATGTTCGTTGAGTCGCCTACACTCGCTTGTATTTGACTGCTTGGGGTGTAATTGCTATAAAGAAAAAGGGGGGGGGGGGCACACACCCTGTCAGTCTGTGAGCCCTCGGTACTGGAAGTGTTATCACTGAGGATGAGAAGGTCCACAAAGTGTTCAGCTCCAGGAACAAGTGGGAACATAGTGATACTTGGTCTCTTCTAGACCTCATGTCTCGAGCAGCTGTTTGTTCAGTAAAAACTATAAATTAAATCAAACGTACATGCCCAAAAATATTTAAATACTGTTCGGGTGGTGGGGGTGTCAATGATCCTCCACTCCAAACCAGCCTGAGGAGATGTGAAGCTCCGTTCTGCTTCTGGCTGAACTGTTTGTGTCTGGAGAGTTGGCGGGTGATATGTGGCGGGGGAGGAATGGCAGAGAGAGGAAGCGCCTGGGGGGAGGGGTGGCTGTTACTTTTGGCCAGCCGCGGGGGCCTCAGACATTGATGAAGAGCAAAGTGGAGAGTGGGCGTTCAGGGGTCCGGTGGAGGGGGTGAGAGGGGGAGACGGGCTGCATCCCATCATGCCAGACTGGGCCATCTGCTGCTTGAGCTGGGAGATGGTGTGCTCCAGCTTCTCCCGCGCCTCCCGCTCCCTGTGCAGCTCCTCCTGCAGCTCCTGCCGGTCCGCCTCCGCCTGCTCCAGCCTCTGACGCAGCTCCGACAACTTGGTGGAGACACAACAAAACAAAACGTGAGGTCCAGTCAGGATTACAAGAAGTGGGCAGATGTTTACATCTGGGCGGTGAATTCATGTCTCTGCTGGTCCAACAAACACTCGCTCCATTAATAATCAGAGAACGTGAGTTTGATGGGGGAGCAGGCAGGAGGTGGTGCTGCAGCAGCCAGCAGAACATCGTCTGCGTCAAAACTAAACCTTGGACAAATCTAAACAACGGCTCTGCTCGTGTGTTCTGACATTCTTCCAGTGACTCAGACTGGACAGAATTAAACCTTTTGGAATATCCAAAGGACAGAGAGTAAATATATATTTTAAATAGTTAAAATATACATACAGAAAACTAAACTCATGACTACAGTTCATCTACCGAGAGCTGTTTTGGCTTCCCACATTTAGAAAGCACGCACTGTGTCGCTGTGATTTGTTAGTATTTTGAAACCAGAGGTGGATGCAGATGTTGTCCTGACAACTCGTACCTGGGCTGTGTAGTGCGCTTCTTGCTGCCGTTGGGCTCCTGGTTCACAAGCGCAGGCCTGCTGTCGGAGCTGCTCCAGACGGGTCTCCAGCTCCAGCTGCTCCTGGCGGGCCTGGCTGAGCTGCCGGGCCTGCTCGCTGTGCACCGCCTCCAGCTCGCTGCGCAGCTCCCGCTGCTCTGCGCTCAGCTCCCGGAGCCTCGCCGCTTCGCCCCCTCGCAACGCCTCCAGCTCCTGAAAACATAAGAGTCGAAGAAAAAAAGTCATAACGTGACCCCTGCAGGAAAAACACTTGAAATCGCAGCCCCTCTCCTCAGGGAGAACGGTCAACACTGCCCAAAGTCTGACAGGGTTCACAACTGTGTTTGTAACCTCTAACACATATTAACACTTATTCAGTGGGAGTTTAGAGTAAAGGGCAAAAAGTGGAAAGAAATTCTGCATATATGCGTTCAGATGAACACAAACCAAGTAGCTGATGGACAAACTGTGACTAATGTTTTCCTGATGAAGGCCATCTCATCTTAGATCACAAACTTTCTGTATATAAAGACATAATAAATCATCACAGTAACGTTGGTCAGCTCTATTTCCATGAGTGCAACGGGAAAATTAATTTGTTGAACAACCACAATTTTAAAAACAATGAACAATGTGTAAAAGGTTCTAAAAATAAAACATTAAAATGGACTGAAACAAAGTGGAACTGTTCTGTGGTCTCTGGTGGTATAGGGGTGCATTTGTGTCTCTGGCATGGACAGCTTCTGGAGTTGTCTTATTAAAACACTAATCACCTGGTGGTGGTGGTGGTGGTGGGGGGGTGTCAGTGGAAGGTGAGCATCACCTCCACATTCACATCAAGGACACTGTTAATGGCTGGGACAGTTACGGTCTGCTTAATCTTGTGATCGTTCATCTTTTCCACCCACTCACCATTTCCAGCTGCAGCTGCTTGTGCAGGGTGGAGTTGAGCTTCTCCTGCTGCCTGCGGTACATCTGCATGATCTCCACCACGATCCTGTCCTTGTCGTCCTCCAGCCCCCCCGCCGTCGCTGCAGCTCCACTCACGTCCTTAGCTGCTGCTTCCGTTTCCGACGACAACGCAGACGGTGGAGGAGGAGGAGGAGTGTGGGAGGGGACGTGGGTGGCTTTCCTGCAGCCCGGGCCGCTCGTCTCCATGGAAACTGCCTGGGTTTGGCGTTCCCGCTCGGTGGCCGACAAGACAGCGGCGGCAGTTTGGGATTTGTCCTCCTCGGCGCCAGCAGTGATGGGAGGCGACGCGTGGAGATCTGAGGAGGGATGGGAGAGGAGGACGAAGGAAGGGGATAAAAGCAAAAAGAAAGTTGAAAGACAAAAAGTGTTGTGCCGGTGCGCAACCCTGCACACACTTAGTAACACCCTCTCACACAACCTCATGAAAGCTGAAACTTCTTCCTAAACGAAAGCACGCACACGCACACGCACACGCACACACACACACACACAGCATGGCAACAGCAAACGCTCGCCCACAAAGTCTCTGTGTTCTTGCCCTCAGACACGCAGAACAGAATAAAGGGCTCGTGTAGGAGCGCTGCACCGACTCCTTGTTTCTTTTAACTGGTTTGTTCCCTCGCTGTGCTCTTTCAGCCGTGCATCATGGGAAACAATGAGTAGGCTGGTAAACTGTGGCAAAAATCATGATTGGAACAGAATCAAAGCTTTGATGCTTTCAAGTTTAGATTCTCCTCAGAACTCTGAAACGCTCGGACTGAGACGACTGTCTAATGATTTTACCTGTGTGTGTGTCTGTTAGCAAAATATAAAATATATATAGTGCATACTTCAGTCAATTTTACAGACACTGCTGTTTTACATGTTATTAATGCTTTTGCATTGTTGCACTTCTGATTCTATTCTGTTGTTATTGAATTTGTTAATTGTGGTTTGATATAATTTTTTTAAAAGGTTAATTAATAAATAAAAGATTTTCTTAAAACTCTGGCATGAAGGGCAGCGGGAGATAGGCATTCCTTTAATGAATGTTAGGCCTTTCACCTTTTAAAACACTTGTTTCATGACGCCTTTTGGGCTAACTGTGACAACTTCTAAATGATTTCCAGCCAGTCGATGTTTTAGAGGAAAAATGAGTAGAAAAAAGTAAAGTGTTCTAAAAGAGTCAGAGAAGAAGAAGAACGCACAACGAGATAGAAAGAATAAAGTAGAGCTCGCAGCAGGAGGAGAGGAGTGGGTGAGTTGACAGCAGACTGAGCGGGAGGCAGAAAAGAGGAAAAAGACAAAGATGGATGGAAAAGAAGCACGAGAACAGACGGAGAGCCGACTCGGAGAGGATGCAGACATGGCTGCCAGGAAAACAGAGAGATGGAGGGAGCGCAGACAGATTGGAGAAGAGAAAGAGAGAGCGAAAGAGAGGAGGGCAGCCTGGCAGTCAGACGTTGCGTTAATAATGACAGACGGAAACGGTTGCTGTGATTCATCCTCTGTCTCGATGCAAACGCACAGCAGCAGCACAGAGAGGTCGCTGCTGCTCGTTCATCGACAGTCAGGAGCCGCAGAGCTGGAATCTGAAGGTCAACGAGCCATTCTGTGTGTGTGTGTGTGTGTGTGTGTGTGTGTGTGTGTGTGTGTGTGTGTGTGTGTGTGTGTGTGTGTGTGTGTGTGTTTATAGTAAGCATGTGTCGGCTCTGAGTGAGTCGTGTGAACTTGATCTGCCAGTCATTTATGCTTATGCTGCATGAGGACAGCTGCTGCTGCTCGCTGTATTCATGTCAAGTATTGGATATACACGAGACTGCGTCTAACACACGAGTATTGCATAAATATTAATATTTAATAAGAACGTATTGTTGTTTTGCCACTTACTGTGTGTGGAAATCATTTTCAATAAATTGGTTGTAACATCAAATGATTAATTAATGTGTCCTAAAAATACTTTTTCTCCCCAGAAACCAATAAAAATACTTCATTTGGGTCAACAAGATTCCGTTAACATTATTATTATTAATATTATTATTGTTATTATTGTTGTTGTTGCCAGCCTCCCTGAAAGGAACTGGTAAATATTTTAGAGATAATAATCAGTTTTTTTTCCCAGGAGTGGAGACGCCTGAGGTTTGTCTGAAGTGACATTAAATGCATTTCACCTCTCGTCTACACGAACCTCTTTTAGTCTGATTAACAACTAGAAACTGAAAATGAAATCTAACAATGTGAAAGTGTTTTTTTGTAATTTGTCTCCAAATCCACATAATTGTTGTTGTACGTTTGTTGTGCGTGCCTCGTTACTGACCCATGGGCGGCTCGTCGTGGCCCATCGCTCTGCGGCCGTAGTGATGTTTGAGCAGCGCGCCGAGCATCTCGGGGCTCATCTCCGCTTCCCTCCTGAGCGACACGTTGGGAGCCACCATCTTATCGTAGGTGTACAGGTAGTAACTGGCACACAGAGGGGGAGAAAGAAAAACATTTAAACGGGTGAGTTTCTTTCATGACGACGTCGGCGGTGAAAATGAATATTTTCTGTTTGCTTTAAGTGTCCTAATGATCTCGATGTCAGCGTTTAATGTAGACAATCTTCGTTTAACATCTTTTTTTTTTTATCTCTAAGTAAAGAGAGCATCTGATTGTAGGAAACAAAGTGGAATATGGATATTTCTTATCACGTGTTTACAGGATCTCAGCCTGAACAGACACTCAGCTTATCACAAATGTCCAGGTAGTCTATACGACTGAGGGAGGGGGGGGGACGATTCTGCCTGGAGATGCTCTGAAGCCAACATGTTCTGTTTACTCCCCCGCTTCACGGCGAGAAAAGGGAGGAGAGGAGCTTTGAACCCCTCCCCCAGCAGCAGGCCCCTCCAGACAGCGCTGAGGCTGAAACTGTAAACTAGGTTAAGCCTGACAGCTCGCTGGGACTCTGCGTGAAAAGCTCCAGCTCCACCGAGTCTTCTTCTGCTCTGGTTGGAAACGAAGCGCTGCCTCTTTGGCTGAGTGAGAATCTAAGATTCTTTACACAAAACGAGTCAGAAGAGGCTGAATAATGTAAGGCCGGCCTGTATTAAACATGAGAACAACCAACGGATGTTGGAACCACCAAAATACAACTTTATGTGCTGAAAATGTCTGAGAGCAGCATTTGATGAAGACTCGACTAGTTTAAATGTGTAGTAGTCGTGAGATGCTGGCAGGTGATCGTGGCTTTAATCCCCCCCAATTTGTCTGGCCTGTCAAAGGCAGTCCCATGCAGCAACGGCTCTGTAAATCAAATAATTCCAGGCTTTAATCTGGGGCAGATTACTTTGTTTGCTATAAGAGAGCCATGTCCAGTTAAACTGAGGAGGGAAACAGAGAGCCAGAAGTAAAAACACGAGAATAAAAAGGTAGAGGGGCAGATATGAAGAAGGTTGAGGACGTGGGGGAAGAGAGAAGTTGACAAAAGGAAAGAAAAATAAACTAAAGACCAATAGAAAGTTGTTTTCTTTAATACGGTTTTACTAAAGTAGAAGAACAGGAAAAAACATCTCAGCCACCTGTGGTAGATAAAATTCAGCAACTAACTAATAAAAGTTTCAAGTATTGGCAGAAGCGTTACGGCAGCAGCTTCTAATGTTCTCTTGGGTAAGCACGTTAAACTCGAGCATCTTTAAACACACGTCCTAAACGCCACTGCTCTGCTCCTGTTTCTTCAAAGCAACTCCAACATAAGACACAACTGAAGCAGGAAAAAGACAAAAAAAAGCCAAAAAATTTATTGATTATTTACGTCAAACTAAAAGGATTGAGTGATATAACACTTTCAGTCATTTTGATTCTGAAAAAACCTAAATATTTTCCCATTTATTCTCTTCAAATATGAACCTTTTGAAAATAAAGGGATTTAAAAAATTAACAGCATTCTTGTGGGCTTTAGAAAAAAATGAAAATGAAAAAAGTTCACAGATTTTCTACAAAGACTGGAGGCATCCTACAAACAGGAGCAGGCTTTTGTTTGGATTTCTACGATTTTTAATCACAAAATCCTTTTTTAAACGCAGAGCTTGTGTGTGGGCTGAGGGTTGGACAAAATGAGGAAAGTGATGAGCGAGAGAAAACTTTGGGTTCTGATTGGGCCTCGGGGAGGTGAACCGACAGGTAAGGTGTAGTACCTGGGGTGGACCAGGGTGGGGTGTCCTGGCTCCTCCTTGATGTCTTGAAAAAGACGATTGAACACCAGAGCGGGTGAAGATGGCTTCCCCTGTGGAAAGCAAAAATCACGAGCATAAATATGACAACACCGACACAATGAGAAGTAAAACCTGAGACTTTCCATCTTCATTTATTGATATGAGAGGAAACTGCAGACCAGATGAATGACACACACAGATACAAAAGGAAACAACAAGAGATGGAAAGATGTGTGGTCGCTCTTGGAGCCATAATCTAATAAAGTTAATATATTCATTAAGAGATGCGAGTGAGGGATTACCCATAAGGCATCAGCGGAGACTCTGAGCAGGAGTCAGAAGAGAGGATAATAGTGAGAAAGAGCTCCTTTCCTACATGTTAACTTGGTGTGTGTGTTGTAGTGAGGGGGAGTGTGTGCATAAGTCTCCCCTGACAGGACAGAGGGGTGCAGCGTGCCGTTATGAATGGATGAACGGGGGGGTGGGGTTGAACCAAGGGTGAAGGTGGTGACCCTGAGAGCTGACCCGTGTGTAGAGGAGGCTGATGAGGAGGCGCATACGTGATTACAGAGAGGGGAAACAACAAAGTCACCTTTCTCGCTGGTCCAGCATCAGCTAACTTGTCGCTAGCGGAGCAGAGACCGACTGAAGTCTTCCTCAGCTGGCTCTCGTCTTCCTCTCCTGACTTCTGAAACACAAGAAGAAGAAGAAGATTGCGGATGAATTAATACAAACACACTCCGACAACAGCATTCTAGAGACCACAGCAAATAATAGATTTGTTATGATGCTTTAGAACGTGTATAAACGCCCGAGTTTGTCAGGGAGCGTGGGAGCAAGAGGAAGAGAAAGGAGAGGAAAAGAATTACAAGTGGCACCCGGGCTCAGAGGGAAATGAAAGACTAATGGCATTTAAGAGACAGAGGTAAACGACAACCAAACAGAAAAAAATGAGAACAAATGCCTTTAAAAGTGATCAATAGATAGTGAAGAAAGGTGACACGGTGCATTAGAAGATAAAAAGTAAAGGTGGTGTTGAAATGTATGAACTGAGGAGTCTACAGAAGGTTTATGAATCAAACTAAAGAAGAGCTCAATTCACTGACATTCATACAACTTACACTTAAACTTTCACAAAGTAAAAGAACATCAGAGTCTGAAAGTTCTGGAGCCGTTATGTCAGCTTCATCCCCTCCCGGGGAGCGGTCTGTTATTGTGTCTGCATGGTTCTGTGTGTTGTGAGCGAACTCGGGGCGCGCTCAGTCAGAGGTCACAAGCTGACAAACTGAATCGATGCACGTCTGCAGCAGACGGGCCTCTCGATGCACGCGCTTTGAAATGAACTGACAAGTAACGCAGAACACCAGAGGAACAAGATTTTCCAGCATGGCGGTGCGAGCTGCTCGGCAGCCCTCGGCCACAGACGCTGAGCAGGAGGAGGAGGATGAAAGGAGGAGCTGTGGAGGAAGAGGAGGCGATCCGATGAAAGTGCAAAAGCATAAAGGCAAAGAGTCAGAGGAGGTAAACTGTAGAAGGCATCATAATTGACTTACTAGCACTTAAAAAGGCATCTATAAACATTCAACCACAAATACAACGGCAGCTCTGTGTGGACTCATGGACACAAACATGAGGTGCAGCCACAGCTTAAACCTACATTCTCACCATTCAGTAGCCATGTTTTCATGAGCAAAATTCTTTGATCAGATTGAAATGTATTCGGATTAAATAATCCTTATGTATTGTTTACAAGGGGCACAATCCGCTCATCATGAGCTTTTGCATACAGCGGACTTTTATTCTGAATAGAAGTACTGACATGTGCAGAGAGGTAAACTCTCTTAAAAAAATAAAATAAGAAGAAAAAGTTCTACTTCCGTGATGAACGTAAACAAACCAAAATGGATCCGCGACAGGTTTTAGTGACGGTGGAGACGTTACTGCACTCCCTGACTGAGCTACAGGTAATACAGATTATTCTGAGCTCTTTCATAGTTTCTCGTAGACATCTTGTGTCGCTCACCGACCAGGTTTGCTTCCCCGACATATTAGCATCTAGCCAGGAAGAAATACGGGAGGCTGGCAGAGGTCGCACATGTGCAGTCAGGTCAGTTTTCCACAATCAGAATAAAATGATCAGATTAAGTGTTTACATGCACACCGTTCTGATTATGACTCGGCATAAACCACCCCTCTCATTCAGATTATAAATTCATTTAGATCGAGCTGAATCAGTCCGAATGGGGCGTTTACATGACTCATTTTTATTCCGAATGGCTGTTTAATCCGATTACTTATGTCCATGTAAACAGAGCTTATAATCCCAAAATATATTGAATTAATAATATTGCATTGAAAACCTCTGTATTTTTTTGTCTATACATCAGTGGAGTTGAAACTCAAAGCCATTCATCAAATAGAGAATGTCCTCCAGTACCAGCCTCCTCCACATGAAGCTGCTCTTTACGCTTGTAATTATTTTAAATCTATTCTTCACATTTCATTCCTAATTGTGCTCATTATTTAAAAAAAAAGAACTACAAAGCTAAACCTTAACTTTGTGCCAATTTGTACGCACTCTTGTGTGAAGCGTGTAGGGGACCTTCCCTGATTTACAAAGGCACGGGTGAAGGAGCATGCAAATGTAGGAGGCTGGAGCTGGATGCGTAGCCAGGTGTGTGTGTAAGTGCGTAGAAAGAAGGGAGGCTTGTCCATTCAAAGTATTTCTGGTTGGTGGTTTTTCTTTTTTTTTCCTCCTCTCAAGGCAGCACTGCAGCACTGAGAGGAGGGAGGAGGAGGTGGGAAGGACGGACGGAGAAACTGCAGAAAGAAAAACAGAAGATGCTCCTCAACAGCTGCCTCTAGTATACAAGTTGTGTACTAGATACCCTCATCTGTAGTCGTGTAAGGTGTGTGTGTCTCTTTCATACACACATGCAGAAACAAACAGGTCATCCAAAGGTCTTTCGTCTGCTTGAACCCCGTATGACAGCAGACGCTCTGTTGCTGAGACAACAACCGCTCATTAAAAGGTGTTTTGAGCTGTGCATGCGTGCACGTGTGTGCATGAGGATGTTTTGTCTCGGTCTCAGTTTAGGTTTTAGTTTTATGGTTCAAACAGGAGTGTAAAAATGTGAGGAAGAATTGAGCACTCAACCAGCGCAGTGAGGTGTGTGTGCATGTTTATCCACCTATAGGAGATAGTCTCATGCAGTAATTCCTGCTCACCTGACAGCTTTACGCCCTCACACACACGCACACACGCACACGTTCTCATTATCACTACTGCTCTCTGTTCCTTAATGAATGTGTGCAAACGTTTGCACATTTCAACACAACTGTTTTCTTCTCCTATCTCTCTTTTTCCACCCCCACTTTGCTTTATTAAACACACACACGCACGCACGCACACCAGGCTGCTCCTCGGCCTTAATCTGCACTAACGAAGCACCTCTCTTATCTGGGTTGCGTCTGTGACACACATGTACACGTGTAGCGAACAGCCCTTAACCCCAGCGTGTCTCCGGCCCTTTTGTCAGGCTGAGGCTCGCCTTATGACAGTGTGGATTAGCATTCCAGGCACTCGCTCAGCTGAACTCTGCCCTGTTGTTCCTAATCACCGGCAGCCTGCCTACTGCTGCTGCAGCGGCGGCAGCTACACTCATCCAGCGCCACGAAAACAGTCTGCTCAGACACACGCAGCCATGTGAACTCCCACAATGACCCACTTCTAGTCTAGAGCCTCCTCCGTTTAGTCCAACCATCGATGCGCGTGACGTTTCTGCAGCAGATGCACTAATGTAGCAAAAAGTGCTTTTTGAGTGCTGTTAAGACCAACAATAACAAGTGCTGGTGCACCGCACACATCCACAACTCTGCATTACCATAAACACCCTGACAGACAGAGTAAAAGCATTTCAGCTTTGCATGTCTGCTGTGGGTGACATCTGTGCTTCCCACAGCGAGGCAGGACCATTTAACCTGCACCAGAAACTCTACAGCACCTGCAGCTGTCTTCTTTCATTTAAACTGAAATATACAGAGCACTGGGCATTTTAAATGGAGGGTTACAGTGATGCGCATGAAAAAAATCCTTAAAAAAAAAGGGAATCGAAGCCTTTAAACGTTGCCGTTTTTTATGTTTTAGTCAATTTAAGTGTAGAAATTAAATTCTGCTGAGAGCACTGGATTCAATAATTAGTTTTTCTGCTTGTGTGCCGGCTTATCGTCCACATCCAGCTGAATTTCGCTCGAGGTGGGAGCTTTAGGTATCACAAAAAGTTGCCTCCAATTGTGTTTGTTGCAAAATGCTGCAGAGGATTTTTGTGTTAGCGACAGATAACGAGAATTAGACAGTTTGTACTTTGTCGTTAAGTACATTCTCGGGGCAAACTGACACAGACTGACATGGAGAGCATGCAAGTCTGAGGTCAAGCTCTCCTCCTCCCGGTCACGTGGAGCCTCCAGATGACGGCTGTCTCAGTAGAATAACACACACACACACAAAGTTACTCTTGGCTATAAATACACATGCTGTCTCCTTACATGCATAATGAAACGCTTACAAAGCTCGCTGTGCACTCACACTCAAGACTGAAGCGCTGCTGTTTCCATGTAGCATACTTTAAAATAAATTAAAATAAAATTTGGGAAAAAAAAAACTAATTTGAAAGTATATAAAAAGATTTGCTATTTATTGGGAACAAGGTTGAAAATGACTTTTCATTTCACGTTTAACATCATTACTGCTGACGACAGAGTGAAACCCCGACAAGGATATGAACACACACACATGGACACACACACACAACAAGTCTCTACAAATCCTACCAAAGGCACAAGAAAGAACGCACAAGCTTTGATTTGACCTTTTATCCCACGTTAAAATCTCTTCTGGACCCCAAAGCACCAACAAGTATCTCTACATCAGTTCAAACCCCGACATCAGCGGCTGAGTAACTCTGTCCTTTCTGACCCCCCCTTGTCCTCCCTGTCTGGACCACTTAAGCACCTGGTTATTCAGGACTGTCAGGCGGGGGTGGGGGGAGTCAAATGGTTGAAGCAACCAGCTCTTCTGTACTAAAAGAAGGAAGTAAACAGTCTTTATTTGGGTGCAATCTGCCTCAGACCGTTAGAGGGAAATGGAGGAAGACGTTCAGTGAGACAGTGGGTCCCACCCTGTCTGCCTGTTTCCAAACCACATCCTGTTCTGCTGCAGTCATCGACAGCGTCTAAGATCAAACTGGAGATACGAGCATACTTGCTGTCTGATTCAGCCATAAATAAAAATACTGGAGATGCCAGTGAAAGGCACCATTTTGTTTTTACCCTTAAAAGATCCACTAAATTATATTGATCCTTGAATTGCAGCCTTTTGGGTGTGGTTTTACTGGGACTTGGTGGTCTAGAGGTGCCACCTGGCACACCACTACAAAGACACTAGAGGCCTTTATAAGAAGGTCTTAATCCAATAAGCCATTTATCCATGAACTGGGAGCCACACTTTGTTTCAGCAGCCAAATCGATAAAAAACCACAAGGGAAGCAGGCAGCAAAGTGGGGCAATTAAAGGAATATACTTTCCTCTTTTCGTTTTTCTTTTGACAAACTCTGACTAACACTGTGTACCGGGAAGAATGGACTTTGTTTCAGATCTACGGTGTTCAGTTCTTGACCAATTCCTGAAAAA